TATATATATATATAAAAGGAAACAACCAGAAAATATCTAATACAAAAGAAAGCATAATGGAGAAATAGGGAATAAAAAGATATAAGACATAAAGAAAATCTAACACCATGGCAGGCACAAATCCTACCTCATCAGTAATTACATCAAATGTGAATAGATTAAAGTTATGAAAATGTCTCCACATGAGATTCCTCAAATGTGGATCTTTTAGTTTTTATTACTGTAGTTTCCAGAACATTGAAGATAAATATAATTATCATAGCCCAGATTTATTTTATTTTTTAAAAGCTTATCATATAAACTTCCAACTACAGTAGAACTTCCATAGCTGACCACACAATGACCACCTCCTTATGTTGATGTAATTTTCATAGACTGGACATGCACCACATGTACATTTCAATACAGCAGGTCTAGTTCCTTGTGTTGACTACCTCCATATGTTGACCAGTTTGGTCCAATCCTTGGGTGGTCAACTTACAGAGATTGTACTGTATATACAAAAGTAGAGCAAATATTATAATGAACCTCTATATACCCGTCATTTAACTATAATAATATTAATTCACATCTATCCTTGTTGTATGTATACTTCCAATCTACTCCCCCCCACACCCTGCATGGGACTTTTTTTTTCTTTTTTTTTTTTCTTGAGACAGAGTCTCACTATAGAGGGTCTCTCAGTAGAGGGCCATGATGGTACAGCTCACAGCAACCTCAAACTCTTGGGTGTAAATGATTCTCTTGCCTCAACCTCCCAAGTAGCTGGGACTACAGGCGCCCACCACAATGTCCAGCTATTTTGTTGTTGCTGTCATTGTTGTTTAGCAGGCCCAGGCCAGATTTGAACCCACCAGCTTCAGTGTATGTGGCTGGTTCCCTATCCACCGAGCAACAGGCACTGAACCTGCATGGGACTTTTTAAATAATTTCTTTCTTTCTTTTTTTTTTTTTGGACACAGAATTTCAAGCTGTTACCCTCAGTAGAGTGCCATGGCATCATAGCAGAATGCAACCTCAGCCTCTTGGGCTTAAGTGATTCTCTTGCCTCAGCCTCCCAAGTAGCTGTGACTACAGGTACCTGCCATAACACCCGGCTATTTTTTGATTGTAGTTGTCATTGCTGTTTGGCAGGCCCAGACTGGATTCAAATCCACTAGCTCCAGTGTATGTGGCTGGTGCCCTAGCCACTTGAGCTATAGGTGCCGAGCCATGGGACTTTTTAAAAAAAGGGAATCCCAGGCTCGGCACCTGTAGCTTAAGTGGCTAGTGCACTGGCCACATACACTGGAGGTGGGGGGTTCAAGCCCACCCTAGGCCTGCCAAACAGCAATGACAACTACAGACAAAAAATAGCTGGGCATTGTGGCAGACGCCTATAGTTCCAGCTACTTGGGAGGCTGAGGCAGGAAAATCACTTAAGCCCAAAGAGTTTGAGGTTGCTGTGAGCTGTGATGTCACAGTACTCTATAGAGGACAACATAGTGAGATTCTGTCTCAAAAAAAAAAAAAGTGAATCAAGGTATCATTTCTTCAGAAATGAATAATCTGCATTCATTAAAAATTAATCTGCATTTTAAAAAATGAGATATTCATTTCATAAATACATTGTAGAAAAAGGGGAAGAAATGTTAGCATCAGAAAACAGAAACTAAATCTAAGATAATTTGAAAAAGCAATGCTATAATTTATTAAAATTCCTAAAAAAATTGAAGTCTGAACAAACCTCTTTTCAATCTAGCTTTCACTCCAATTTCTTGTTTTTACCTGTCTCTTTTCTCAGGATTCCATCCTATTGACCTAGTTAATGAGGTATTATCAGTAAATTCACTTTTTCTTATTGAAGAATCATTGTTATTCAAAATTTGTTCCAAGAGTCTTACATTTCCTACAACAGAAGAAATGTAGTATCATTTTTCAAATGCTAATTCATTTATATTTTATAGAAAATTTCACATATATTTGTAACCTGACCTAAATTAGCTTCTTAGGATGATTATCTGCTTAATTTACTCTACAATGTAGACTATACCTATACTCAGCAAATAAAACGAACATTTATACCTCACAAAAACTATAACGGTAAAAGTTTGAATTATACAAATAAAATCCTAAGTTTATTTCCATCACAGAAAAAAGGAACTTGAATGAGAAGTGTTATCATCATAAGCCCAGTAAAACGGACCATTTTCATAAATTTAAGAGATTTACTGTTTCTTCCCAACAACAATGAACTGGATGTTTCCTTTCACCTTGTTTTTAGTGAGAATGCATAATAAATATTCGTGATTTTTGTTTATTAAAAATTTTACCAAGTCCTAAATTCCTTAAAATTTTATAAATGTGCCTAAGGCATGACTTGAATGTATTTAAATGATTCTGACAATAAAAGCCAATAGTTTAATAATTCACTTACTTTTACTAACAGGGCATATTTTAAGGCTCTGCAATATACCATTCTTTCAGGTCACTTATAAAAGTTCCTGATTTCTATTAAAAAGTTCATATATTAGTACTTTCTTCCAGAACACAGTGATAAACATTAAATTTCTCTGAGTTTCATTATTGAAATTCATACCTAAAAACAATGACCATTTTTTATTCATTAACTTATTCATTATAGATTTAAGTAATAACTGGTAGGGATAGTGAGAATAATTATAAGTGTATACTTACAACTCCTTTTACAAAGAATCCAAAGAAGCTTGATCTTCTCAGTGAGTATCATTTAAAGAAAGATAATAAAAACAGAGATCCCCCTTTAGTTAGGAATGTAGAGAAATGTAAACCAGGAGTGAGAAAACCTCATGATAATTCCCTAATTTGAGATGGGTCTATTAAAGGTGGGGACTAATCATAATTGCTTCATTACCTCTAGGACCTGACATTTCCTTATTTTCTTTTTCTTCCACATCATTTTCCCTCTTTGATAGTTCATCATCCCTTGAAACAGGTACAGGAGCAAACCTGCGAGGTGCCGGTGTTTCCAAAGGAGATTTCTGTTTATCCAAATCTATGTCTGGATGGAGTCGAAGGACATTCTCTTCAGCAAAGTATCACAAAAATGGGAAAGCCACTATTCAATACCTAACTCTAAGATGTAACCAACAGATAAACAACTATACGCGCACACAAATGAAAAATACTATTAAATTCAAGTGGGGAGGATGGGGGAAGAGGGAGGAAAAATGAGGAGGGAGGGGAACTGGTGAGCTCTCACTTAACAGATACAAGGTAGGGTATGTGGCACACCTCCTGGGTGAAGGGCTCAACTACAACTTGGACTTTACCTAACAAATGGAAATAATGTAACCCAATTGTTTGTACCTCATACTAATCTGAAAAAAAAAAAAAGGTTTCCCAGTGCACAGAGGTTGTAATTAGTACTAAAACTGGTTTGTTTTTTTTTTTGAGATAGTCCCACTATATTGCCCTCGGTAGAGTGTGGTGACGTCAAAGCTCACAGCAACCTCCAACTCTAAGGCTTTAAACAATTCTCTTGCCTTAGCCTCCCAAATAGCTGGGACTACAAGTGCCCTCCACAAAGCCTGGCTATTTTGTTGCAGTTGTCATTTTTGTTTAGCTGGCCCAGGCCAGGTTCAAATCCACCACTCTCGGGGTTTGTGGCTGGCACCATAACCACTGTGCTACAAGCACCAAGCCTAAACTTACTTTTAATAAAGAAAACATACACAGTAATTAGTGAAAATGATGATGATAACAGAATATTCATCAAATATCTACTATGATCCAATGTAGATTATAGGTATAAGCAATCTACATTTATTAATTTAACCTTGACAACTCTATGAGAAAGGCTCTATTTTTTGCACCTTCATATAAATGAGAGGACTAAGGCACACAGATTACACAGTTAGTGAGAAGTGGGCCCCCAGATTCTAATCCTGGCATTTGAGCCCCAAAACTTATGTTCTCAACCACAATGCTATTGCTAACATCAATTCCTGCTTTTGTCTTAGGAATAAAGATGATTCCCTTGTTCTATTTCTCCCATTTTTAATAAAGAGAGCTAACTGCTTTAAAACACACACATGGGGCAGTGCCTGTAGCTCACTGCTTTATTACCTCTAAAGTAATACAGTAATAGAGTAGGGAGCTGGCCCCATATACCTGAGGGTGGCAGGTTCAAACCTGGCCCCAGCCAAACTGCAACAAAAAATAGCTGGGCACTGTGGCGGGCACCTGTAGTCCCAGCTACTCAGGAAGCTGAGGCAAGAGAATCACCTAACCCCAGGAGCTGGAGGTTGCTGTGCACTGTGATGCCACAGCACTCTACCAAGGGTAACACAGACTCTGTCTCTTAAAAAAAACCACACACACACAAACCTGTAAGGTCAACTTCTCTTAAAGGTGCTTTAATAGAAATTTTTTTTAAAAACTCTTACTTATTAATGAAGATATATAACTTCATCCTCACCAAAAAAAAAAAAAAAATGAAATGTGGACTATACACATTCTATACTTACAGCTAGGAAGCAAGAATCACTTTTGATTTTCAGTTCTCTTCAAGGTACAGGGAAACCAGCATTGCCAGACACTTCTCATGGCAATGAAAAGGAACTCTTTTTAGTAAGTAAGGAACTCTTAAAATTTTTACATACTTTGACCTAGTAATGTTATTCCTGGGAATTAATTCCAAGGAAATAACATATATGAAAGAAAACATTAAATATATGATGATATTAATTACAGTATTATTTATAAAGGAAAAAATCCCCAAAGCTGCCTAAGTGTCCAACAATAGGATAATGCCCAAATAAATTGTGAAGTAGTTACTCAGGGGATTATCGTTCAGTCATTACAAATTAAAATTATAAAGACAGCTCTATAAAACATGGAAAATACTAGGGTGTGGCCTGTGGCTTAGTGACTGAACGATAATCCCCTGAGTAACTGTTTCACAAAATAAGTATAGAAAAATAAAGATTAATTTACTGAATTTTTAATTTACTCACTTTTCTTTATCTGTTACTGTAACTGATATATAAAAGGAAACCTATAGCACAGTGGTTACAGCACCAGCCACATACACTGAAGCTGGGGGTTTGAGCCTGGCCCGGACCAGCTAAACAATGACAACTGCAACAAAAAAAAGCCAGGTATTGCGGCAGGCACCTGTAGTCCCAGCTGCCTAGGAGGCTGAGGCAGGAGAATCACTTAGGCCCAAAAGTTTGAGGTTGCTGTGAGCTGGGATGCCACCATACTCTACCCAAGGGTGATATAGTGAGACTCTTGTCTCAAAAAATAAAAATAACTCAGTATCTTCTCAATAAAACAGTCATCTTCCCCCCGCCCTTTTTTTTTTTGAGACAGAGTCTCAAGCTGTATGGGTAGAGTGCAGTGGCATCACAGCTCACAGCAACCTCAAACTTGTGGGCTCAAGCTATTCTCTTGCTTCAGTCTCTCAAGCAG